GGACATGAGCTAGAGCCCCAATCCACTGGCGGACACGAGCTAGAGCTCCAGCCCACGGGCGGACACGAGCTAGAGCCCCAGCCCCCTGGCGGACATGAGCTAGAGCCCCAATCCACTGGCGGACCTGACCTAGAGCCCCAATCCACTGGCGGACATGAGCTAGAGCCCCAATCCACTGGCGGACATGAGCTAGAGCCCCAGCCCACTGGCGGACATGAGCTAGAGCCCCAACCCTATAATTCTAGTTAACTTTGGTCTGGAATGTTAGTGCTAGCAACCAAGTTCGATCTAACAGCGAAGGAATATAACCATAATCTGATATTGAGCCTGATGTTTCGATCCTGTGATCACTCTTGAACAGCATTAGACATATGATCCTCAGAACAATACATCACTACAGACTGCTCACCAGGGCATAGTCAGTGTTTGAAACGATCGTAATGTTTGCAATGTTTATTGTATTGTCAGAACAAATATCGTAGTAACAGGAATCTGAACTCTGCCCTGGGCGACATTGGGACACATTTCGGCTCCACCAATGACATTGACTGAAAGAAACATTGATCACAACACGTGACCTCAAAAGCTTTTCCTATAGGAAAAGTAATGACCAAAGACACACACATTGACAAATCCCCCCACACATTGACAAAGGCCCACACACATAGACAAAGACACGCGCGTAGACGAAGACACACACATAGACAAGACACTCACATAAACAAAGACACGCACGTAGACCAAGACACTCACATAGACAAAGTCATGCACGTAAATACAGACGCACACATAGACAAAGGCACGCTCATAGACAAAGACACGCACGTAGACAAAGACCCACACACATAGAAAAAGACCCACACACATAGACAAAGACACACACATAGGTCAGAGAGGATTATTTGGGTCTTCATTGCATCACTTCGCCGAGGACTCCCGATATTGTTTAAGATGGCCCTGATTTCTCGACCAGTTTAAAAAAAAAACAGATAATAATCCAGTAACCCAAGGGAGGCAATAGCGTTAATTTTTTAGAATGTCAGGGACGCAACTCTTTACGTTACAACCAACATCACTGTCTTCTAGTTATGTCTCTTGAAATATCAGTAACTTCTTTTTTTTTTTTTAAATAGTTTTAAAAATTGTTCCATCGTTATCCATTTTCTGGACTATCCTAGAATGAAACATTCAGCTATAAATAACGTCACGTGATCCCACTTTGTTTTATACAAAATTGTTATAAAAATAGAAATGGTGTATGTGTGTGTTAGGGAGGGGGGCAGGAATGGTGGCTGTGATGACATTTATCATTTGCTCAGAGCACATCGGAGACAACTTGAGTTATGTTATTGTTTTACTTAGCTCAGTTGGGTGCTTCTGATAAGAATACAAGACACCCATGTGGTTCCTATTGACAATGGTTAATTTTAAAATTTCTAATCAAATTCTTCCAAATAAAATAAAAACGAAGTCCAAAATAAGCCCCACCCTAAGCCACACTCCAAAACCCCATTAGAAGCCCACCCAAAGCCCCACCCTAAGCCACACTCCAAAACCACATTAGAAGCCCACCCAAAGCCCCACCCCAAGCCACACCCCAAAACCCCATTAGAACCCCACCCAAAGCCCCACCCACCCATTAGAAGCCCACCCAAAGCCCCACCCTACGCCACACTCCAAAACCACATTAGAAGCCCACCCAAAGCCCCACCCTAAGCCACACTCCAAAACCCCATTAGAAGCCCACCCAAAGCCCCACCCTAAGCCATCCCCCAAAACCCCATTAGAAGCCCACCCAAAGCCCCATCCCTAAGCTACAACTCAAAATCCAAAACCATCCTACCCATCAACTCACGCCCGTGATCACCTGAATCACCTCCCCCCGACCCCATAGATGTCCACTTAAATCTTTAAAAGAAGTCCACCGAGGCCCCACTAGAAGTCTACCTAATGCTCCGCCCTCAGCTCCGCTAGAAGTCCACACCAAGACCCATTACAAGTCTACCACAATCCATGTTATAAGTCCACCCAAGTCCCAAAAGAAGTCCACCCAAGTCCCAATAGAAGTTCACCCAAGTCCCAATAGAAGTCCACCCAAGTCCCAATAGAAGTCCACCCAAGTCCCAATAGAAGTCCACCCAAATCCCCAATAGAAGTCCACCCAAGATCCGTTAGAACTCAAACCTTCATTAAAAGTCCACCAACTCTTAGCTCCACTAGAAATCCACACCAAGCCCCGCCCTTAGCTCCACTAGAAATCCACACTTAGCCCCGTCCTGAGCTCCACAAACTGTTGTATAAAAAAAGGAACAAGAATAATTATTTAACATTATGTCACTTATTTATTGTATGTTATGTATCAGGGAACATTAGTTAATTCATCATACATGTATGACCAGTCAAATAGGGACGTTGTTATATAATGAAATATGCAAATATTATTATTATTATGGTCAGTGTCAATAAACTATATATATATAATTGTAACAGTAATTAATATCATATTTCCAAATTGTGTTGATAGCTTCCTACATACTAGATACCGAATGAACTAAGGGCACACAGCGGCTAGAGCACGTAACGTGACTAATTTGACAAGCAATGTCATAGTCAACAAGCAGAAAATGTTGTTCACTGGCTCAATCAATCCAACCCCTTACGACTTGGTCACTGCCCCAACCTACCCACCTCTAGCGCCAGGATACAAGGATTCGCTTGTCAGTTACTTGGTCACTGCCCCAACCTACCCACCTCTAGCGCCAAGATACAAGGATTCGCTTGTCAGTTTATCTAATAAATAGATGTGCCAATGTCTGTTAATATGCTACTGCAACGCGATCCCCTCTCACCATACCCTCCCCTCTCACCACACCCTCCCCTCTGCCCACCATCCTGTCCACTGACACCATTAACGACCCAATTAAGTCGGATTAACAGCGCCGCCCCTGCCAGCAAAGAGCACCATGATGCCAGCGCAGAAGCCCAAGATGAGAGCGCAGAAAGCCAGGCCGAACGAGAAGCCGAGGCTGACGTGAGAGTATTCAACTTTAAAGTAGCAAATGAAGACGACGATGGTCAGTGTCCATGACAGAGCTGGGGATGAGACAAAACATAGCAGGTATTACAAGGCTTGTCTGCACAATGATCAAATCCAGGTATTGATAGCATACAAGGCTGGTATGAACAATGAACAAAATCAGGTATTGATAAAATACAAGACTGGTCTATACGATGAACAAATCCAGGTATTAATAGAATAAAAGGCTGGTATGAACAATGAACAATGAACAAACTAAGGTATTAGTAGAATACAAGGCTGGTCTGTACTGTGAACAAATCAAGGTACTGATAGCATACAAGGATTTTGTGAACAATGAACAAAACCCCAGGTATTGATAGCATCCAAAGCTGATCTGTACAATGAACAAACCCTGGTATTGATAGAATACAAGGCTGGTCTCTACGATGAAAAAATCAAGGTATTGATCACATACAAGGCTGGTCTGAACAATGAACAGACCAATCAGACCCCTATTTACTTAGTTTGTCTCTTACATCAAGTGTTCATTCCTCCCAAAGTCGTCTAACTATGTCTAAGAATTGCCACACCCTCGAGACCATAGTTGTTCAGCTAGTGTACAACAGATATCTGACACATATTTTTATGAACTTCAATGAACTCACATTTAAATTAAAATAGAAGCGTTCATTCTTCAAAGTACGAAGCAATAATGACAGAAAAATGTACTGTTAAAACAAAACACTGGTCGGGAACAAAATGTACCCAATATATTAATGACCACAATAATGAAAAATGTATAATGATAGGTTTAATTAATTTCATAGCAATAACTTTGTTGGTCGTTGTTTTGTTTGTTTGTTTTTTTGTTTACCAGAAAGAATCAAGCAAAATCCAGCGAGTTTCTTCGTCTCAGAGCTGCCCGAGTATTTACTGGAGAACATGAAGAGAAGCAGTAGCAAGAATCCTATGTTCATTCCCATGAAACCAATTATTCCTAACGCTTGGGTCCCTGCGAAGACATCTGGAACAGGAAGGTTCAACATGATGAGGGAGCACGTCCAAGGGAGGCAAAGGCGAAATAAATTATGGAGCCAAAAATCAAGGGCAACAACACAAGGTACAAGCAAATAGAGAACAGTGCTTAAGTCGGGGGATAATGAAACTAAAATATTAAACAAAGTTGTATACAGCTGCCACCTCTGGGGATTTCTGCCAAGAATTTTAAGATCCCCGGGTTATTTACATTTTAATGGTTTCAGAGCATCAAAGAGGGTTAAGTCTTGTGATAATTAAATAATCTAACATTTTCAAGGTTGTATCCCTTTAACAACTAACCAACGTGATTTAAATAAATACAATACACTAAAGCCGATATTCAAACGATGAAATTAAAACATTTTTTTTTTTAAACACCAGATCGTTGTAGCATAATCCTGTCCAGAAGATACAATACAACCTGAGGATGAACTGAACGATTTCAGGCTAATATAGAAATCATAATCCGAATAATTGATACAAATGACTTGACAAGGATCCTGATATCCATGTCATGGGAACCGCTGACGTGAATCACCCGCTGAACTTACGTGATGGTGCCCCATCCAGAGGTCTGCATCCTTCAATGGATCCATATCCACCACAGGACCTCCACAATCCAACATGAGAATCTGGCCGTATGATCCAGGATGTTGTGCAAAATGCAATCCAGCTGTGAGGTATGCACAAGATGATGTTTAGTGACCAATGTTCTATACATATTGAGCATGATGTTTAGTGACGAATGTTCTATACATAATCAGCTTGATGTTTAGTGACGAAAGTTCTGGACATATTGAGCATGATGTTTAGTGACGAATGTTCTATACATAATCAGCTTGATGTTTAGTGACGAATGTTCTATACATATTCATCTTGATGTTTAGTGACGAATGTTCTATACATAATCAGCTTGATGTTTAGTGACGAATGTTCTATACATATTCATCTTGATGTTTAGTGACAAATGTTCTACACATATTGAGCATGATGTTTAGTGACGAATGTTCTATACATAATCAGCTTGATGTTTAGTGACGAATGTTCTATACATATTGAGCATGATGTTTAGTGACGAATGTTCTATACATAATCAGCTTGATGTTTAGTGACAAATCTTCTACACATATTGAGCATGATGTTTAGTGACGAATATTCTATACATAATCAGCTTGACGTTTAGTGACGAATGTTCTATACATATTGAGCATGATGTTTAGTGACGAATGTTCTATACATAATCAGCTTGATGTTTAGTGACGAATGTTCTATACATATTCATCTTGATGTTTAGTGACAAATGTTCTATACATATTCATCTTGATGTTTAGTGACAAATGTTCTACACATATTGAGCTTGATGTTTAGTGACGAATGTTCTTTACACATTCAGCAAACAAGTTTGTATAGGACCATAATCAGAACTGATACACTCTAAGCAGAGCAGCTCATTCACACTTCGCCTAATGCACAAGTTAATTTACCTGTTTAAACTTATCGGTGGCCTATATAATGGTTTGTTTAACCATTTGTTGTTTCATTGAAAATATAGATTCTTCAATGTTCAATTTAGTTGTTCAATTTTTATTTTTAGGTAGGTTGTTTTTTTGTTGTTGTTTTTTGTTGTTGTTGTTTTTGTTCATACAACACACACATGTTTTCTCTGCTTGGAGGGGTTAGTGTTGTTTTCGCTAGTAAATTTTACAGTTTTATTGTTTTGCTATTGAGTTTTTTTTGTTCATGATGTTCAGCTTTCTGCATTTGCTAAGCCTGAAAATGTTTATTTATGAATTTTGATATGCTCAGTTGTTGAAGTCGTACAGTTTTCATACACACGATTTGTTTAAGTCATCCACTTGTCATACATAAGATCGCTCATGGCCATGTAAATGACATTGGCTTTGGATAGTTCTTAGCTACATCTCTGGACTGAGAATCTAGGTTTCTAGCTAACCTCTTAGTGTGCATTGTCCTGCGAGAAATATAGAACTATTAAAATAGATTCAATCTAATTAAAACTGAGTTGATCCTGACAAAGTTACTCGTGAATCTCCAATTCTTTCAGACTTAACAATAATCATGCTTGTGTGGAATCCCACAAGTCTTAAAACAACCCTGACATTGCCCCTGAAGATTAGCTTATATATGAAGATCGGATGGACCCCTCTCGTTTTTTTCTGTCTCTGGATTTGCTAATGAAAACAATCGAATGACTAATGCGAACTTTGGAGGATTGTAAGAAAGTACAACTCTATTACCTACATTTACAGCAAATGTATTATTAAAATAATTAACACCCATCAGATACCTACTTGCAAAACGAGGCTGCCAACACAAAATAAAAACAGACTTTGGTCACTACGTCAGATTTCTTGAACCCTTCCTGGAAGCCCATTCTTAACGTTCAGATATTTTCCAAACAAAACTAATGAAGTAGAATTATAAATAAGTCATCATTGTTAGTATATATTTCATATCAGAGATCTGTTCAAATCTGATATCCCATATATTTTAGAAATATTATATTAATTATTTTAAAATAATTAAGAAATATACGGCAATATAAATACAGTCGAACCCACTTATCTCGAGCTCGGTTAACTACCAACCCGGTTATGTCGACGTTTTGGAAGTGGATCGCCAAATTCTCTCTTTGTATTAGCATTTTCTCCTCGGGTATGTCGATTTTTATATGTCACAGAACCGTGATATCTCTAGCACAAACGGCCGCCAAATGTGCCACTTAACCTCGGTTATCTCGATCCCCATGACCAATCGCCGGCTTTTGAAAATTATATACAACAGAAACGTGCCTACTTCAAATTTTAGTAATTGAAATGAAATGACATTATCGTTGTCCGTGCACTTAACTTGACACGGCAAGAAGCGAGGGACGAGAGGCTTGCAAACAAATGAGAGAGCCCGTAGTGCCTGTTCTATTTATAGGTACGTCCCGACCGGACAGCTCCCTGGGCGGTGGGGAGTGGTGACGCATCACCACCTCTCCGGAGAGGAAGTAAAGCCGTCCTGACCCATAGGAGAGTGGACTACGGACGCTTTAAACGCAGCGCCCTCGGTCTGCCGGACGTCCCTTAGGCCAGTAAGGGAAGTTCCCGGCGCGCTTCCGCACGGTCTGGGGCTTCGGGGGGGGGGGCCTTGGCCCGTTTGGGGGAGTGCCGGGGGGGGTATTATGAGTGCGAACTCGACGACCCACCGACACCATCTCCAAAGTAACGTTCTATTTATAGCGAACCCGCTTGTCGTTAACAGGCTTTCACGCATTCCTACAAGTTTATTGTTAAAAAACAACAGAATCCGATATTTGAATCAAGTGAACTGGCCAATCCAGAGCGAGAGAAAACAAAAATTCGAGAATCCGGAGCCTCACGAATCCAGAATTCCGGGATAATCCGGAAAAGTGACTCCCCACATACGCCTTGTGTTGTTAGCAAACGTGTGTACATTTTTACAGCATGCCGATCGCTTCATCAAACAAATCACGGTAACGCTGTTGTATAAAAAAAACAACTCCAAAACACGTTCATGTACATGTCATTTATAAACGCACATCGTGTACATAAAGAAATTTTAAACACACGTTAATATATTGCCACCATATTGGTTTTCGGTTATCTCGATCATCGGTTATCTCGAAGCTTTGTTTTGTCAAACCCCGAGGCGGTCGACGTGATCGGGTTCTGCTGTAAACAGGACGCCATCTGGGTTCAGGCTGCAATCTTAATTCCTTTGTTTTGTCTTTAAAATTGAAAACTTCGCTTTGTGCCATCTTAAGCTTTTAGTTCCTTTTATATTTACCGCTGGCCAAAATGCGTTGTGGCACATATAATGTCAGTGGGACATATAATGTCAGTGGGACATATAATGTCAGTGGGACATATAATGTCAGTGGGACATATAATGTCAGTGGGACATATAATGTCAGTGGGACATATAATGTCAGTGGGACATTTAATGTCAGTGGGACATATAATGTCAGTGGGACATATAATGTCAGTGGGACATATAATGTCAGTGGGACATATAATGTCAGTGGAAAGACCAATACAAAAGATTACGCTGATAAAACAAAATCAACCAACATGAGTTGTAGTCATGGTGATATTAATAGAATTATACTTTACAGCAGGGCTTCCCAACCTGAGAAGCTTGCACCCCGATGAGGTGTCATGTGTCATTTCAAGAGGTAAGAGAGAGAGTGGTAGCTTTTAGATCAGAGAAGGCATAGACTTTCAATGACTGTTGTGGGGGTATGAGATCGAACCCAAACAGTGATGGATTAACCTAAAGGCAAATTAAATATGTGCCTAGGGTTACCGTGCCTTTTAGCGGCCCCGTGACAAATAATCCTTAACTTTTAAACGGATTCGATTTTATAATAACCCTAAATATAATTTTAAATATAATAAATGTTACAGAACATTTCAATGGGCGTTGAATCATGGTCAAAACGGTGTTTTTCTGACCTTATTATAGGGTAACCTCATTTCTGACGCACCAACCTTGAACTTTTAATGAAGCAGGCATTTGGATTGGTTACATGTGTACACACATTTACGTGTGATGAACTGCGATGGGTTATTCTTTTATAAAACTAGGATTAGACCAGGCAGTGTATGCTCTGTAAATATGTAGTTTTTTTTTCAATTCGGTGTCAGCCCCCACCCCTGAGATGATGTAACCCGGTGCAGTCCACACACCGCACCCTCTAGCTACGCCAATGGTGCATAGTTAATGGCAGTCACTTAGTCACTTCCTTGTTTGGTCACGTGATGTGAGTAAGCCATCACTAGGCTGCTACACACAACAAAAGATACTTCATCAGTGCCTCCCCAATGTTATGTTACTTGAAAATTTTACCTTTCGAAATATTCTGGAATACACGCGTTTCTTAAATGAAATACATAAATGTGACAATAAATATACGTCAGTTATGATTAAAGGAAGATAGTTATTTCAAGAAAAATTTGTGAGCGATATTCGATGGGAACTATCAATACTATCATCGGCAGGCTGTTGTTGAGCTACGTGCGTGCTCATGACGTCATTTACGTTTTTATTCAATATTGATGCAGGAGTCATTCCCCTTTGTTTATTTTATTGTTAATTTTCATTGGACGAAATGTATTGTAGTTGTAGTGTGTAGTGGGCTACTGTTGTCAAGCCCTAGTGTGTTGTATACAGTATACCGGAAATCTTACTCGTTTTTACTCACATCACGTGACAAAATAATTGACTAAGCGACTCCCATTGTTTAATGTATGATTGTCCCACATCACAACGTTGGACCCCCTTAAAAAACCGAAGCCCCCCCCCCCCCACCCCCCAAAAAATACTATGAGAAACTATATAAATTGTTAATCCACTTTAATTTACTTACCATATCTATTACGTATGTGAAAATAGATGTTAGTTTTGCTGTAAAAACAACGTCAAGCGTATTTCAAATATCACGTCAGACGAGTGAGGTGTAGAGGTGGCGCGGCACCACTCGTTGTTATGGCAGTACCAAAAGAGGTGCGCACTTTAAGGAACGCAAAAACTTTTACATTGCAACCACTTCTTCAGTGGAAATACATACATGAAGTTTAGATTATACAATCTCCAGGGAATTAACTAAGATGAGCGCCGTCTGTGATATGTAACGGATCAGATGGATCTATCTATACATCTATCCATCCATCCACCAGTAAGTTCACCCAACCGATTAACCACCCACCCACCCATCTACCCACCAATCCATCCACCCGATATATATTTGGCATCCATCCATCCTTGCGAGAAGATGGGGTAGCTATTGACACTTCATCAAATGGCTTACCAGAAATGGCAGTCTCGGCTGCACTTGACGCCTGGTTTTGCAAACACCCTTAAATCGCTGCCGATACCGTCCAATAAGTCTTGCCCCTCTGCCAACTCTCCCTTCTGCAGATCCTTAGTGTTACGCAATGGCTTCTCTTGTGAGAAATTAATCTCCTATTTTAAATTGATGGCTCGTTCAAACAGTGCCCAACAAAGGACGATACCATAGAAAAATAAAATAACAAAAAATATGACAACCAAAGCAGTACCAATTACAATTAATAATATTTAATTTAGTAATATACAATTACAAAACAAACGAAATATCATTACAAATCATCAACTTACAGTATGGTAGATCTTGTACCGGTACACAGTTAACACAGTTAGTACAATGTCCAATGAATAATGATGAATGATCAATGCGAATAAACACATATAAATACACAAAGAATAATACACGTCTCGTGAAGTTAAAAAATATCTATTAATCTCCGTCCCTGTCTGTGCCTGTCAATCCTTTATATGAGGGTCTACCGACGCGTCTAGAAATGCCCTTACTTTTCTAATACAATCGAGAACATTCCATAAGATACTAGGAGACATACTAACCATGTTTAATTGGAAGTCGGTGGTAAACAATACTCATCAAACGAATAGGCCACGCCCATCTATGAACTTAGCGTGTGCTAGGGGTCAAGCAAAGTTCACGCACGGGGAAAAAGTGTCATACATAACACTTAGGAATACGGCCTTCCTTTCATGCTCCTTACATGGCCTATCCAGTGAAGGCGTCTCTTGCTAAGACCGGAGAATATGCTACACATTTTGGTCCCATCCAAAACCTCTGTGTTAGGCACTTTTCCTGTCATCGAATGCGCAAAAATGCGACGCAGACAAATTTGATGGAACCTGTTAAGTTTTCGCTCATGACTGGCATACATTGTCCACATTTCACTGCCATAATATAGGAACGTGCTAAACACAGATGTATAATAGACCCTTAGTTTTGTTTATGTGAGTTTAAGATTATTCCACATCTGCTAATTCAATTTAGCCATAGTTGTTCCTTTTGCGATCCCGATGCTCATCTCTTCGTCAACGGAAAGATAACAAGAAATATTGGATCCAAGGTAAGTGAAATTCTCAAAACCCAACAGATTGTGGCCGTCAACAGTTATGTTTGGAGGCAACTGTGCTTCTTGCGCCATGACATTTGTTATCTGTAGATTTAAGGTCAGCCAACGCTTTAATATATGTGAGAGAGGCCATTAACTAATAGCTGAAGAGCTTCTTCTGTGGTGCGATGTTAAAGTGGCCTGGACAGCAAACGGCAGTTCTTGAATTAGTACCTTTTTTACCTTGTTCTTTGCACGAAGGCGTGCGATATTGAAAAGCGTACCGTCCGATCTGTTGTGGACATACATATTGTCTTCACAGTTCCTGAGAGCAAATCGAAGAAGCATCGAGAAGAAAATCGAGAAGAGCGTAGGCTTTTAAAATACCAACTCAAGTCTGTGGTCTCTGTAACAACTAACCTTTACTCACCATTCTACATTCCTTTTATTCCCCTCATCACATTGCCACTCACTCCAGTCATCCAGCCCATATTCATACATTTAAACTTAAAACATTCATGAAAACAACTCACAATGTCCAGAAAATTTCACAAAGCATGCATTAAAGAGACACACTTGATAAGAATCCGAATGAGTGCTCCCCCTTCAAGACTCGGAACCACACCTTTTTCTTCACACCCCTGAACTCTATGAATATTCTAATGACCCACCCGCTTTTACATCGCAGGTTTATTTCATCAACATTATCAGAAAAACAAAAAAAAAGCATACGCACTTTCGATATTACAAATTTAATTTTTAAAAAAGAATATCATTTAGCGCAATGATCAGGAATCGTAAGTCATGAAAGCTGTGGTCTCACATTTCCTTCATCTTCCCCGTGGAAAACTGGAAAAAACTGATTTTTGGGAGTTAGGGTTTTGGGGTGGGGTTGAAAATTTGAAAGAATGTGTTGTCATTGGCAACGAGTCTATGTGCAAAGTTTCAGCTCGATAGTTTGACGGGAAATGGTTTCTATTTTAGCCGTCTGAAGTTTTTTGCGAGCCAGCCAGTCAGCCACGAGCGAAAGCGAAGTTAAAATAAAGGCAACGTTTAAAAAAAAAAAAAAAAAAAAAAAATTGGCGATATCTTCGTCTTGATACACCAGTTGTTTACTAGGTATTATTTAACTGTTTTCGGCTATCGGAAAGAGCAAGGACCACCGGAATCAGTTACGGATGAAGGGGGGTGCGGCTCCTTTTTTTATTTTTTTATTTTTATGGAGGGTCAGCATTTTTGGCCAACTGCTTAGTTTTTTCGTGGAAGTGGGTGACAAAAATCGAGGTCGGCCCGGGACTGCACTAACCCCGCCTACGGAAGTGGCCGGAGTACAAAGTTGAATGGAGGATAGACATTTGGAACAGCCTTGGGTCAAAACTTTGAAGAGGCATAACATGGAGTGTGGCTTTTGTTTCCCCACGTGATGTATGTAAAACATTTCACTTTGATCCCGCACTTGATAATCACTATGTTCCTTTTATTATTTCCCCGAGGAATGACAAGATAATTTTTTGTTATCCATATTTTTAACTGTTGGTGTTTTACATCTTTAGAGGTACTTAATTTCATTTCATACAAGGGGGAGTAATACTGAAAAAAGCGATTGGTTACTCCGTCTGTATGTTGTCAATATGGGAGGTAATGGGTCATGCTTGTCTAAGCACTATAGTTCTGTGTTGGGGTCAGTAATCTAATTATTAATATATCAAGTCGTGGATAAATTGCAGAATTATGGAATGAGTTCAGTTAAATCAGATGAAGAAAATTACGAAAGTGCAGAGATTGACGCAGAGAAAAAATATGAAACACCTAACGTTTTGCCCTACTTGCCAGGTGCAGGCAAACTCATTCTAGTTGCCAGGTGCAGGCAATGTCATTCTAGTTGCCAGGTGCAGGCAATGTCACTCTACTTGCCAGGTGCAGGCAATGTCACTCTACTTGCCAGGTTCTCTGCTTTTCTGGTAGGAACCAAGTCTCACTTGCTTAAGTTACTACTGATCTTATGATACTGGTGCAAATTGCCTCTTTTTTACTCTCGATAGTTTTTTGCTTCGTAGTATAAGCTTTTGTAAGTTCCAGGAGAGCATCGTACAGGTATTTCCTATATATGCTATCATAGGTTGATTGGTAGTCCACATGTATTTGGTGTATGTTGATGTGGTATTCTTAGCAATTCTCCAGGATACATCTAATAGTAAATAAATGAAAGTCTGAAATGCCCCCTCACACATTGTCTGAAAGAAACATTGAATTTGTACCACAATGCATTTTGAATTTATTATTTTTAAATTAAGGGGACTCCTGCCCTCGTATTTGCTCAAGACTCTTCAGATTCCTCAAGATATGCTTCTTCCTTCATTCACGTCGATTAATGTGACTTAACGGAGTTAAATCTAATCTTGTTTCAAATGATTATCATGGGCGCACAACAAACAATATGAATTTAGTTTATGTATGGCACTGGGCGCCATCATGCCTCCACTGACGCTTGAAAAATTATTTTCCCTGATGAATAATAGTCTTATGGAGACTATATACTTCAAAATGCACATATTGATTGTTAAACAATCACAAATTTTCCGCTTAGGAAAAGCCACCGGGATGCTCGATTTCTGCCATACTTCCCAATAAAAATGGCAACATTGTTTGTCCCGACAACCAATTTTGGTGCTGATATATACAACCCCCAGTGGCGTGCCTAGATTTAGCGCCACTCTAGGTAGGTTAACTTTTTTGCCGCGCTAACTTTCTGGATAGAAATTCTGAAGTTGTCCGAAAATTCCGCGACTCAATCTAAAGAAAAATGACACACGGGAAGACCAAATATTGCCCCCCCTCCCCCTTTTCTGCGTCACCGGCGTCAGTCTTTGGTGCCAGGGGACAAGATTCATTTTTACTCTCTCCCTCCTCCCCCCTCCCCCCCCCCCGGCTATACTCTGAAACCCATTATTTTCATCCATTAACACTATAGCCGTATAGCCCATAAGCAGCCCACCCCCACAAAAAAAATCCAAAGGGCCCCCCCCCCCCCGGGGGGGGGGGGGAAATTTTCTGAAAGAAACACTGGATGCAAGACTCCAAATCTTGTAACAAAGGAGCATTACGGAAGGTCAGCGTAAACCAGAAGTCAAGGTTCTCCCGCGAGAAGTATAGCCGAGACTGTCATGCCAGGATCGGTCTCATAAGGCATTCGGCCAGGATCGGTCTCTTAAGGCATTCGTCCAGGATCGGTCTCATAAGCCATTCGGCCAGGATCGGTCTCATAAGCCATTCGGCCAGGATCGGTCTCATAAGCCTTGAGGCCAGGATCGGTGTCATAAGCCATTCGGCCAGGATCGGACTCATTAGCTATTCAAGGAAGTGTCAAAAGTAAAGAAGCTGTGCCATCGCCTCATTCAGACGGTATGGATCCCAAAAATAATGTCTCAGATGCGGAAACACGTAGACTGCCCCCCCCCCCTTTACCGTTAATGAAATATTTCTCAACTTGACTTATCAACTTAATTAGGATTACAAATAATGAATTTGAGCATATTAAAGACAAATGTTGACTATTACTTGATATCATACATTCAGACGGTATGGATCCCAAAAATAATGCCTCAGATGCGGAAACACGTAGACTGCCCCCTCCCCCTTTACCGTTAATGAAATATTTCTCAACTTGACTTATCAACTTAATTAGGATTACAAATAATGAATTTGAGCATATTAAAGACAAATGTTGACTATTACTTGATAGCATTCAATTATTCATTCTCCATATATTCAGATAAACACAGCGTCAAAAAGAAATATAACACTAACGTCTTATCACTCAAACAAAATTTAATTGATTATATCAAAAGGTAAAACTGTTTCTTTGCTTTTTATCAAGTATCAATAGGCTGTCAAAAAAAGCTCAATTAGAAAATATAAAACTGTCTACAGTTTGAACATTTGTTTAAAATATTGTTTAAGTCACATATTTTTTACATATGAAATTTTTATATTCACATGTTAAAGCTATATTTCGAAAAGCCTGTCATATCCCCCACCCCCATTCTCCAAATAACATTTAGTAATTATTTAATTTATTCTATGTATTTTCTAATGCTTCAGTTTTACATGCTTCACATTTATTTATATATGATATTTATGAAATGGAACATTTATTTAGAACTAACAGATCCAATCTTAAGTTGACCAAGTATAGTGAGAACCCCTGCTACACCAGCCAAGATCAGAGCGCAAATCGCGAGTCCGAAGGAAAATCCAAAGGAGAATCCGAAGGTTGGTTGATAGTCAATTCTTCCGAAGTCAGCAGCAATCACACTGACGGCAATCAACCACGTCACAGCTGGGGACGGACAATCAATCACAATGATAATGAGTGATTGAAATACAAAGCAAATCGATGATGAACAAGTGCCACTCTCCAACTCAACTGTATAAGGAATGTGCTAATTTCTTCCTTAAAAAAAAGTAAGAGGATGTGCTAATCTCTACCTAAAACAATAAACAGAATGTGCTACCCCTTCCAAATACAAGAAGAGAACACGCTAGTCTCTATCTGGGCCAATAAAAGATTAAGACAATCTCTACCTGAGACAATTAGAGATATTCCAGCCGCCAGTCCAGTTTCTGACTTGCCCTTGCAGCTACTCCAGAAGATGAAGAGAACCAGCAGCAGACATCCAACATTCAGTCCAACAAATCCAAATATGGCAAACGCCTGAGTCGCAGCAAAATAATCTGTTTTCAAGAAAAAAATGTGATTATTTTGATGACCTTTACTTCAAAAATAATTACTTAGGTCCGCTTTTAACACATACTGCCCTCCTGTTAACAGATTTACTTCTTGGTGTTAAATAAGGTTGTGATAGCGGTTTGTCTCTATGTTTCTAAGGAAATGGCGTCAGTCAGCCGTCGAGCAAAAGCTCTTAATGCCCTCCCCAAAGCACCCTGTTCCTATCGGGCCGCGAAGGGCAACGTTGGAGATCTCTGAAGTTACTTCACTTTATGGAAACCATCTCAGCCTTGGGTCATCCGGTCAGTCGGTAGTGTTGTTCTCGCAACAACAGCAATGGGCGGTTCCATAGATTGAAATTGTGCGTTTACGTCCTAATTTCTCCCCCTGCTCATCCCGGGGAGATGCCGGAAGCCCTCTAATGGGGTTTCCCCCAGCGGGTTTCTACCTCGTAAATAGTTATCAAAGTAGCTGGGACGAGACGGTTGGCTAGGAACAGCATCCTCGATGGCTGTGAGTATAGAATCGTTAGCATGAGACTGCCATTTCCAACCTCATGCCTGATATACGTCATTCGTAACATTGTAACCATGACCCCTACACTATCATGATCACGCGATGGTAGTTATGTTCCCCGAATAACGCAAGGGTCGGTGCCGTCTTAAGACATGGGCACACTGAGCACGCCTCTAGGGGCCCTTACGCCTCTAAGAAACCTAACGCCTGTTAGCGGCCTCACGCTTCTAGCGACATTATGCTGCCAATTTTGTTCAGGAAAGTGTCATATTTGTTGGCAATTTAATTTGCTATCAAAATGGAGCGGGAAGACCGTTTTTCGATGTTTACATCCAATCATTTTTTAAATTAATTATTTTTTTTTTTTACAAGTTTTAAACAGAGTTTCTCTTTAAAAATGCTCTATTGGCAGAAAATCAAGGGATATTTTTAAATTTTTTTTTTTAAAATTGTAGGGATGGGGGAGTATTAAATAAAAAGGCTTACAAAGGTCCCATAAGTGCATTATTTAGTCATTAAATGAAGAAAGTTAGATCAGTTAGACATTCCAAATAAACCTTTGAAGTTACTGTATTTGTTTGGACATTCACACGATGCACCCCCCCCCCTCCTTCGTAAACGACTGACAAGCTACCCCCACTATCTCGTGAATAAAATTACCTGAAAGAAACTGGCCAAAACGCATTGGCCAATCTGGGCCATACTGCTTTACACAAAATTACTATAGTTGGCAATAGACACAGCCATGCCGAAGAAAGGTGGCGCCCAGGGAAGACTAGTAAGACGTGTTTGGTGCCCCTGTCTATGTGAAGTAAATGTGATAATACAGTTTAGACTACTATAAAGGGTCGATCTAAAGACAAGTGTACCACCCCCTGATGCTGGCGCCAGAGGATATTGGCCCTCTCGCCTCCACCTTTGCATGGCCCTGAGTGTATGGTATTGAGTGCAAACGAAAAAATATAATGCCAAACAGAACTCAATAACTCACATATCCCTCGTGTAAATAAGAAGAAACCATATGAAGTTGCAATATTTTCTTATTGATAGCAATATTTCAAAACCAAATTAGATTACAGATTTGAATGTCGGTATAGATTTTAATGTTAAAATAAATAAACATCATCTTCCAATATAGGGAATTACGCGTTTAACTTTTACAAGAGAAAATGCAAAACAATGCGTGAGAAATGGAAGTAGGATATTAGAATATTGAAATAGTTCAGGAGCGTGCAAAAAAAAAGTGTAGTTACGTACATTAGGGGTTACTAGCCCATTGATGATAGAATTAATGTGTATTAAAAACTGTGGGGGAAGGGGGTGAGATAGGTATCAGAATGGATGAGTGGATTTTATAAATAATTAATTCATAAGATGTGAATGCAGAGGATAATATCTTTAAATCCAATTATATTACAGTAGTGAAAAGTAGTGTTAGATTTTCTTTTTAAAAAAAAAATATATATTTCATACAAATTATAAAAATACAGTTCAAAGGCGTTGACAGATTGTGGTTACATTAATAAGAGTAGAACCATATCTAATAAATAAAATAAAATAATAATCTCAAACCCCAATAATTGTACACACGTAAAAATGTAATCTAAAAAATTACAGCTATATTTTTTTTTTATTTACAGATCTTGTGCGTTAAAAATAAGGGCTTAAGATTTTCTTTCAAAGTGTTAAACTATATTTTTGTCTTCACGTTTCGAAAAAATCAAGTTTATGTAAAAGTGGGGCGTACATCTTTATGAGATTAATGTTCCTTTAATAAAACTCAAGGCTGTTACAGGCGTGAAGGAAATAATGGAACACGGTTTGAGGTTTTGAAATACAAGAACAAAATAAGTCGTGACATTAATTAAGAGATTCTACTTGAGATATTATAACAATTATGTGTTTTAAGATTCTCTGATAATATGGTGGAGAAGCGAGGCTAGAGGCGTGTTTAATTTTTAATGAAGAAACCAATGGGATCAAATGTTAAAGTTAAAAATATTTAAAATGGTACCAATTTTTCGTTGTTGTAAATGTAAGGTCCTGTTTTGACCATTTTTAGTATATTGAAGAGGTAGGGTAGGGTTATATTATATAGCAGATAAATAATTCTGAAAAATAAATGACGTTAGAAAAGTAAACACCAATACATAGATAACTTTTTAAAAAAAATACCGGAATCATTTATATGCGTCTTAATGTGTTGTTGAAAACTCACAATAGCATGTAGAACGAATCGCCTTCCATTATTACCCCGGTAACATCGGGTCATATCTCCTAGTGTATCAACTAAACTTGGAAGCATGTATTGAGATATATGAAACTTAAGCTTTATCAACAGTAAATAAACACCGAGCTGCAGTGCTTGGAGGATTTAAAATTAAGACTTAAAAAAAAATAATAAAGTAATTCAATGTAAGAATTGATAACTTACTTGAAGCTAAAATATTTTAATAGTAAATTTCAACAATAATTCAACATGAATTTATGAAAGTATATAAAAAGGTATACATATGTCAAAGTACGTATCATTTGCTGTACCATCTAAGTGTATGGGGCTCTCTGTGTAGCCCCACCATCTCCATAAACCTACATAGGACACGTAAGAAGCGACCTGAATCGGAGGAACGTTAACAATCACGGTTACCAAGACCCATGACGTTGTGCAGAAAGCTGTCCAGCTGGGGAAACGAAACCAACTCACAAAATCACTTTGGGGTTAAAAGTTTGAAAAATGATGTATAAAGAAAAAAGAAAATGAAAGAAAGTACTTATGTTTTTTTAAGGCAGTAAGAACCATCAAAGATAATCAGTCTCTGAGGCAGCGGTCTCATGTGAGAATTAAAGCCTATGGTATAGCTATTTTTATTGGAGAAAGCTGAGTCTTTAAACGTGTGTGTTGAGGTACTTAAGCATATAGCCTAAAGTTAGAAGTAGCATGGTTACACCCTCACACAGCCCCCCAAAATAATGTATTAACAAACAATCGCCTCAGAAATGAATTATTAGATACTATATACTCCAATGCTCTAAGAGACCTCAGACCAACAAACAGAAAAAAATAAAGATTGGTATGTTGAAAATGATAATGAGATACAGTGACTAATAAACGAACAACATAAGATGCTGAGCTCTAAATCAGAAGAACTCCTACGTCATATGTAAAGAAAGGTTTTCTAATATAAAATAAAAACAGAACGTGCAAAGGAAACTTCGCTAAATGCCAGACTCATGCCTCAGCAGGAAGGCTGGTGAAATTCAAGGCTATGCCCATGGACAAAACCAAACGTTTTTTCGATGCCATAAAAGAAGTCTATGGACCACAGTCCTCAGGCCGCTTGCCAGTCATGAAAAAAATATGTAACTCGGCTACTGACAGACACGAGTCAGATTTTTTAGAAAGATGGTAAGAACAGTTTTGTCAAGTCCATAACTGTCCAGCTGCTGCAAACAATAATACCATTGCTCGTTTACCAGACGTGGAGATCAACCAAGAGCCCAGACAATAGTCCCATTGAAAATGTTGACGGGAGGGCAATCCAGCGACTCTCCTCAAATAAAGCCCCAGGATGCAATCCCTTTTAAAATCTACCCAGCAGGGGGCCCCGTCCTGACAAAAAGACCGACAAGGATATTTTAGTCAATATGGAAAGGATGCTGCCCCTCAGCACCTAATAACGTCACATTGGAGATGGCGTCAGTGGGTCGTCGAGCGTGAGATCTTAATAACCCCCCCCCACCCCAACATCTCCACCGCCATCAAGCGAGTTTTTCGGTCGGGACGAAAGCTGGGACGAAACGGTCGCCTAGGAGCGGCTTTCTCGGGGCCGCGTAGCTAAAATCATCGGCAAGGGTTTTAACCGCCACCCAGGCCTCATATCCATTAACGGCAACAAGTCATCATGTTATTGCGTTACTCCCGTTGCTTTGGGAGTCATGTAAGTGGCCGGGGTTTTTGGCTTCGGGAGGAGATCCTCCCTACTGGTCTGGCACGCCACGAAGAGGCAAACCCCATGGGACACCTCCGAGTTGCCTCGGTGGTGCGGGACTCTGACTTAGAGGCGTTCAGTCGTCGTCACCCCAGCCCTCAGCATCTCAAAGATGCAAATATAACACCCATATTATTAAATGAAATCGCAGTCACCAAACCTGTGACAACTACCGAGGCATTCCCATCCTTTCCACAGCTGGAATGATCTTGGCCAGAGTCCTACTTCATGGTTTACAAATTCACACGAACAGTGACTACTTCCTGAAAGCAAATATGGATTCCGTTCAGCCCGGCGCCTAGCTTGTGACCAGGGCTGCCACTCAATTTTTTTCAATTTCCAAGATTTGGTCAAACCATTTCCCAAGATTTCCCAAGATCATGAAAATATATAAGAGGTTTTTTTTGTTTTTAAATCTTGGGAATTTTTTTTTTTAAAATGAGTTTTGGCAATGAATGAGGTAGTGAATTCCCAGGATGTTGGGAAATTTCCCAAGGTGTGGCACACCTGCTTGTGACTAAATCAAGCTGTTCTTCAAAATTGAATAATATGTCAATACCTTCTTAGAACGCCCCCACAGCCCCAACCCATTTTTCCGTTGAGTTTAGGACGAATTATTCCCCATTCATTGTTGTTAGTCACGTGGTTCACCAGCGGATCGAACTACACAGTAGGACCCCTTACTCCCAAACCACCACCCCATCCTAACCTTTGGCCACGGTTGAGCTGTTGTTAGTACGTGGACATTTTATTACGCATCTAAACTTAAAGTTCATTGTTCTCAGACAGCACATGATAGTGATTTATCCAATGACCAAGTATAGTCTTTGTTAGTTATGCATAAATGAATAAGATGTGTATGAATTTGATTTAACACAAAAGACCTGAACACGGGCAGATGTGACACTCATACGAGAGTGGTTCCCATACACCACGAATCAAAGTCATTTCCCAGCACAGTTGACATGATATTTGCAGCTCACCAGCTCCAGGGAAAATGTCAAGAGCAACACAACAGCCTGTTGATCACCTTTGTTGATCTGACCCAGCGGCGTAGCTAGAGGGGTGCGGACCACACCGGCTGACACCATCAAAAGGGGGTGACGCCAAAGGGGGTGACGCCAAATTAAAAAATGGCATATTTACATGTCCCACACTGCTCGGTCTCACCGAATTTCATAAGAGGATAACCGATCAAACGTAACTTTTCCAAACATGTAACCAGTCCAAATGCGTGCTTTATTAAAAGTTCAAGGTTGGTGTGTCAGAAATGAGATGACCCTATAAACAGGTCAGAAAAAAAAAAGTTTTTACCATTATTCAAAGCCGATTGACGTGTTCAGAACATTTCGTAAGTGACAGTAATTTATATTTATCTTAATTCTGAGACATAAAACTTTCCATTGAAACAAAAATTAAATACGACGTCGTAGGGTGATTCTAAGTACATGTTACAGTCTTTAATACATTTACCTCCTGACCTGCAATTAATTTATGTTTTTTCCATAGTGGACTTATTTATACATTAAAAAACTATCGTGGAACGGGGGGGGGGGGGGGTGACACTATGAATGTATAAGCATGCACACACTCCTACAAAAAAAACAAAAAAAAAAAAAAACAAGCCAGATGGACAGGGCATCCGCAAGAATGCCAGACTCCAGACTTCCAAAACAACTAATGCTCGGTGAACCCTTTTGTGGGAAACGCTCAACTGGTGGGCAGAACAAACGCTTCAAGGACTGTCTAAAAATACTTCACTCAAATCCATGGACATTGACCTTTATTCGTGGGAGACACTTGCAATGGATCATACATGCTGGAGTGGCAGACTCACTGTTGGAGCACAGTTCTCAGAGAATAAACGCACAGCTCACGTCCAAGAAAGCGCATGGCAAGAAAAAAAAACAGAATCGACTCAAATACAACTAGGACCCAAAAATAGCGTGCGGGATAGCTCACCAGGAGGCACAAGTAATACTGGCAGGCAACCGTGGGCCTCTGCGCATGCGAGGAACGAACAACACCATTAGCTTGCTTTGTCATTTTCAATGTGGTTTTGACCCACTCATGAGGTCCAATTGAGCTGAAACTGTATACACTTACACACCCCGACAAAAATTAAACCTTTCATGATTAGTAGGTGACCAGTGACTTCCACTTACCCCTTTTTAGTCATATGAATGTATCAACATAGAAATTTTGGGGGACAATTATTTTTCTACTTTTTAGTGCATTTTTAAAAAAGCATGTTTTTTTTTTTAAATGTTTTTTTTTTCAAAATATATTTTATTTACTCGATTATTTGGAATGTAAAGAATGAGACCAGCATGGTATACTAGATGCAGATTAGATTTTCTTTAAAATAGCTGGGTAAATATTGGTTAACATTAGAAGAAAACTTTTTTTTACCTACCTGCAAATTTGAGCGACAACAACGACGCCTGCAGCTATTTTGATGTGAAGCTTTGCTCCCAAAAGATCATCCTTGATGCCCATGGAAATACAGATCTTACTGGACTCACTGACTGGTTGCGGATTTGATGTGAAGTTATGCTTTAGTTATCTAACGAAGATCAAGAATCATAATATAATTACATACATACCGACACACAAGCTGAAAGGAACACCCGGGTTTTGTCTCTAGTTGGTCCTAACATGTCTGTTTACCCACCAGACACGGTAGCGGACTAGTTGCTACTAAGGCAGGATCTTCTTAAGCTTTTTGGTTACATGGACCCATCGCCAATCAGATGGAGACCACTGATCAGTTTTTATAATGAAAATGTTAAACAAGTATCATGAAATAAACCGAAGCAGCTCATGAAACCCTGTCACCTTTTCTGTGCCCTTCAAGGGGTCCGTCGGCAATAGTTTTAGAAAGACTGTTCTACGGCACCCAATTTAATCTCCCCTGTCTGATAACAACAGCGGCATTTCCGTACTGGGTTTTTACAATCCTCCAGAAATTATCTCAGGGGTCCCCAAGTAATTTCTAGTCATTAAGTGGCACCAGGGTTCGACCTCCACGTTAAAGATTGTGACCCGCCGGCTGCATCACAAATGAAGTTTTTCTTCATTCAGTTAGCGATAATTGGTATCCCTTCCTTTTGAAATTCTAAAAAAATATTCTGAAGAGGGGCTTCTCTCCCTCCTTAAACTCAAATTCACTGAGGGACACTTCGGTGGGGCGTCCTAGATTCCCGCTCCCCCCACCCCAGCTTCGTCGATCAAAGTGGCTATGACATAACCTTTTTAAATATAATAATGCTCTTAGGGTATATAAAATATTATAAAATATGAAGTAGTACTGGTAGATACGTTTATTAAGAATAAAAAAAATAATTGTGTGCATCATTTATGTGGTCTTTATCGTCACGGTCGGATTGCGTCATGTTGTTCCGGGCCTGGTTGTGAGTGATAGTGTTTTTTTTTTCTTTCTTTAAGGTTTTCCCTTTTAATCCCATGAATGTTCTCAGAGACGCATGACTGTGGTGGTATGTCGGAAAGAGGTGAAAACACTGCATGAAATTAGTGCTGTGCTAGAAGACTGACAATCGCGATTGCTGTTGATGTTGAGAATGACGAACGCTGGGGATGTTGAGAATGACGAGTGCTGTGGATGTTGAGAATGTCGAGTGCTGTGGATGTTGAGAATGACGAGTGCTGTAGATGTTGAGAATGACGAGTGCTGTGGATGTTGAGAATGACGAGTGATGTGGATGTTGACAATGACGAGTGCTGTGGATGTAGAAGTAGGAGTGAGCTTTTAGTTGGATATAATTATTTCCTGTTTCTTATGTAATTTCCACCCTTATGCAAACCAAAGGATGAAATAAATGAATCTGAACTGTTTCACTGCTTCGTGTTATTGAATTCTTACAACACATTATCTCTACAGGAGCTGGAAGGAAAACAGTTTTGGCTCTGGAATTGTTCTGTGGCTTTTACAAAGGGGACCTAACCTCTAGACGCCAGATAGATACAGTATTAAGAATAAATAAATACTTCTGTGCATCATTTATGCGGTATTTATGTTCTTTATTAATAAACAGTTGCCCGTGAAAAGTTAACTCGCTTTGAAAGGGGCACATAAAGCCATTTGGCTTGAGCAAGACTTGCTAGAATAGAGTCCAAGAACAGGCAGATCGAGGCAAATAATGTATCCCGGTTTCTAAAAAAAGTCAGAACTGTTTACTTCTACGGTTTCTCCTTAGTACATGTAACTACGTTTTTAAAGCCTAAGACTACAGTACCACAAGTTTTTTCGTTTCTTTTGGCTTATTTTTAATTTTTAAAAATTAATAATTGAGGTGTTTTCAGTAAAAAGTTAGCGCACTTGCTGTGTTAACACAGTAAGCAATCGAATAAGAGCGACATCCTTCAACTTGCTGTGTTAACACAGTAAGCAATCGAATAAGAGCGACATCCTTCAACACATCGGAGAACCATAACTTGTAGATTTCTTTATGTTATCTCATATAAGCAGCTGAGTGGATTTCCTGACATAACTTGTTAACCCCCTCCCCCCGGCTCGCTTATTGACCAAACTACTCTTTGGATCTTGTAAGTACATTTTTGAGAGCTGAAAACTACTCAGGGGTCAACTGGTCTGTACAAAGTTTGTGTGCAGCTTAACTTTTGAAATGTAAATCCACTTTAATAGACACGTAAATAAATCAACACAGTTAATATCACGCAAAATAAAAATTTATGAACAATAATAAAAACTTTCTAAAGTACTAAGTGAACGCTCTCGTAGGAAGTTGCAGGTACTTACAGAGTCAGGCACCCAGTCAATTTCTGGAACCCAAGTGAATGGTCGGGTAGAGTAACATGTCCAGGCGACAAAAAACTGTCCCTTTCTCTTGACGTCCATTAGCGTCCTTAGCGACCAACAATGGCAACATTTTTATCGTGGATATCGGCAAACGAGGATTTTTACTGGCAATTATATGCACGTTCCTGGCCTAACATAGATTAGATAACGTTGGATTACAAAGGTTTTACCACTGAATGTAATACATGAGTATTATATTGATTTAAACGTGCTGATTAGAAAATATTAAGTTAGACTCTGCCTGGCATGTCTAGATTTGAAGCAGTGTTGTTACACAGTGGTCAAGAAGACCCGTCTATTCACGTCGTGGACCTATAAGATCCACTCATTTTCAAAGTGTCCAACTGCTCGGAACACAACTGGCACAACTTTGCAGAACTGCAAGTCGTAGAAATTATTTTACGATTGTTACTTGACCTCCATGTCACGTGCAAAAAAAAAAAAGTGGTTTCAATAAACGAACTTATTTACATTGACTACGCTTTTTAGTTAACGAAATATGCGGTTTGATTCAACAGGTGTTTTCGAGTGACAATTATTTACATTGTAAATTAGAAAAATTGTCATAATTACTGTAGAAAAGATTTGGGTAAGATCCAATATATAAATTTGAAAGTTATTTAGGCCTTAAGTTTTAGTAATTAATTAGCTATTGTTTTAATGTTATAAGTAAGTGGTGCTAATAATACTGCCCTGATAGAATTAGGCCTGCCATAGCGATACTACTGGTTGCTGGGTGGTCGTGTGGTGTAAAATGAGTTCAACCCCCGGCAAAAAAATCACCAGTACCCGATGCGCATGGGACTCGTTAACCTTAGATGGCAACTCATTTAGGACAAGGGAAACACCTTAGATGGCAACTCATCTAGGACAAGGGAAACACCTTAGATGGCAACTCATCTAGGACAATGGAAACACCTTAGATGGCAACTCATCTAGGACAAGGGAAACACCTTAGATGGCAACTCATCTAGGACAAGGGAAACACCTTAGATGGCAACTCATCTAAGACCAGGGAAACACCTTAGATGGCAACTCATCTAAGACAAGGGAAACACCTTAGATGGCAACTCATCTAAGACAAGGGGAAACACCATAGATGGCAACTCATCTAGGACAAAGGGAAACACCTTAGATGGCAACTCATCTAAGACAAGGGAAACACTTAAGATGGCAACTCATCTAAGACAAGGGAAACACCTTAGATGGCAACTCATCTAAGACAAGGGAAACTCTGAATCAAAACCAGGAGAAGGCGGGTACGTTAATGAAATGGAAAACTCCGGCAACTCCTACGACGCAGCTGGTGACAAGCTATATCATGTATATTTGATGTTCCTATTGGTTATCCAGGTGCGTGGAGAGAGGAGATTTGCCATCTAGGGAACCAACTAGAGACCGACCGAATTTCGGCTTCGGCTTCGGCGCCGAAAGTGGCCATTTTATCACTTTCGACCAAGTTTCGATTTCGTCCGAAACTGAAAAGTTAACTTTTGGCTTAATTTCGGTTTCGGCCGAAAAAGAAAAGTTAACTTTCGGTTTTTCTTCGGTTTCGGCCGAAATTGACTTAGACTTTCGGCCATCGGGCCGAAAGTGACAGGTTTTCGGTCATCTAATACTCAGCGAAAACGATATTTAACAACAAACTAAGCGACATTTAAGAACAAATTAAGCGATCTTTGAGAACAAACTAAACGATATTTAACAACAAACTAGGCGACATTTAAGAACAAACTAAACGATCTTTAATATCAAACTAAATGATCTTAAAGAACAAACTAAACGATTTTTAAGACCGAACTAAATGATCTTTAAGAACAAAACAAATGACCTTTAATAGTAAACTAAATGATTTATAAGAATAAACTAAGCTATCTTTAACAGAAAACTAAATGCTCTTTAGGAACAAACTAAAAGATCTTTAAGAACAAACTAATCGATCTTAAGGCAAAAAAATCAATTATCTTTAAAAACAAACTAAGGGATCTTTATGAAACAACTAAACGATCTTTAACAACAAACTAAGCGATCTTTAACAGAAAACTAAAAGATCTTTAAGAACAAACTAATCGATCTTAAGGAAAAAAAATCAATTATCTTTAAGAACAAACTAAGGGATCTTTATGAATAAATTAAGCGATCTTTAATAACAAACTAAGCGATCTTTAACAACAAACTAAGTGATCTTTATGAACAAACTAAACAATCTTTAAGAAAAAATAAAGCGATAATTAACAAAAACTGGACGATCTTTAAAAAAAAACTAAGCGATCTTTGAGAACAAAATAAACGATCTTTAACAACAACTAAGCGATATTTTCGAACAAACTAAGCGATAAATAACAAGCAACTAACGATCTTTAACAACAAACTAAACCATCATTAAAAAACAATTAAAGCGACCTTTCAGAACAATTTAAGCGCTCTCTTAGAACCATATCAGAACAACAATTTTTAGAGACCCGGTTTTAAAAAAATATTTTGCATTAATTTTGCCCCCCCCCCCCATTTTTGCCAAATTTTCTCCTACCATACAAATTTAAAAAAAATTGTAAAGCAATTTAAATTAATTTTATATTAAAATGGTAAAATCCAAAGTATTCATTAGATCAAGGGTCCCAAACTCAAATCATCAGGGGGCCGCAGGAGGTTGTGTCTGAATGAGAGTGGGCCGCATCAAGTAATCCACAAAAAAGCGATTACAACTGTTACAATCTGCTCAACCTTTATAAATAACAATACAATCTTTAAGGGTTCTCAAGAACTAGGATTCACTTTCATCTACCTACTCACTGTTGCATACAAAAATATATAGACTCATTTTTTTTTTTAAATTTAGAATTAGACTAGTCTGAAACCGTCACGGAGAGTCACGTCATAGATATGAGAATGGGGGTACGGGCCGGCGCATTAACACTAAACTTTTCTGTCATGTAGCGGGCCGCAAAATATCCTCTTGCGGGTCACAAATGCCGCGAGTTTTAGACCCCTATATTAGATGTTTATTTATTAATATTCACGATTATCCCATTTTTTATAAAAAGAATGTAAATATTTATACTTTCCCACATCATTTTCAATGTATGCAGAATGTATGCGGGAACGAATTTCAAAATATCTTAATATTTCATTTTCGGTTTCGGCTTCGGATTCGGCTTCGGTTTCGGCCGAAATTCATTTTTAACTTTCGGCCTTTTTTCGGTATCGGCCGAAAGTCATTTTTAAACTTTCGGTATTTTTTCGGTTTTGGCCGAAAGTCATTTTAAACTTTCGGCTTATTTTCGGCTTCGGCCGAAATCAGAAAATCACTTTCGGTCAACCTCTAGAACCAACTTATAGTCTTTAAGCGGTGGTCGTCAAATCGCGGCTCGCAAATCGCATGCGGCTCTTTAGCGACCTGAGTGCGGCTTAGCCAGTCAGCCAAAAATCGGTTTTGACTCCAAAAAAAATGGTTCTTGAAAAGATATTTGGCGCTCAAATATTTTTCAATCGTCCTGCTGCTGATTTTTGGCTCTTTTGACTAATGATTATGCTGACCACTGGTCTAAAGAAAGAACACTGGACATGCTTGCAGGCGAAAGTTCATCGTTCTTTCCAAATCTACCTAACACCACATTTCCACTTGCCAGAGGCCCTTTCACAGTCAAAGTTAAAGATGTTCCCGATACAGTACAAGAGGAATTCATTGAACTTATTAACAGCGATGGAGTGAGAACTGGTTTCTCTAAAATGCCGGATACAAAATACTGGATCAAGTGTTAGCAGTCATAACCTGTTCTGCCTGAAGCTGTGTTGCGCCTTCTTCTTCCTTTTCTAACAACATATCTTTGTGAAACAAGGTTACCCAGCTTGTTGCTCATCAAGTCTACTACAGAAATAGACTTGTTATGGAGATGATCTCCCGTGTGCTCTCGCACAGACTGCCCCGAGAATGTTTGATCTTATGTGAAAGAAGCAATCTCAAGCTTCGCACTTAAGTGGGTGTCTATATACGCATACTGTCGAAAATTGTAGCAATGTAGTTTACTGTTGTTATATTAAGACTGCTACCCATGTTACACCATGCTTTAAGACAAGACAAAATTTCATTTATTTGTAATTAGAAATAAATGTTTCACAATATTACATTTGTTTTTGTGATTAATCACTGTGCTTTAGTTATGTTCAATTTGTATCAATGAAAATACATCTTGCATATCAGATATTTAAATTAAAAATCATAACTGTAGCAAAATTACTGTTATGAAGTAGCAACAAAGATAATTTTATGGTTGGGGGTCACCTCAATATGTGGAACTGCATTAAAGTGTTGCTACATTAGTAAGGCTGAGAACCACTGGCTTAGTAGAAAGGGGGGCGTTTCAACGCATCAACTACAGAACTGTTGACATAATTAGTTTTTAAGACGAGTTTGTGAGCTTTCTTGGGCGACGTGCGCAGGTGGCGCAGGAATTTCTTGAACTAATTCAGCTGATTAATTGTCGCTTACGTTTGTATTCTGGACTGTAATGCGCTAAACTAAACACTTTATTGTCCGAATTAGAGTGTTTATAATTTTTGTTTGAAGAATGGGGAATAATTGAGTTTTCCCATTCATTTGTTTCTTGAATCATCAAGTAATTATAGTTATCTAAAATTAGGTTATATAACTTTTGTGAAACCATTGCAAGGAGAAGAATGTTTAATAAATAAATGGAATTCTTCAATGTAGGATAAGAAATAAAAAAGTAAAAATGTTAACAAGCAACGAAAAAAAATAAATCAGCATTTATTTAAATCAAATGTCAAAGTTAAAATTTAATGGAAGAGCATATGCTATAATACTTATTTTAATTTAAGATAAAAAATTTCAAATGTCCATGCAGAGCCAGTAAATAATTTAAACATTGATTGCAAAGCAGAAATTGAGATTCCGAGTGGGAGAGAACTCTACCAAAAAAATATTCAAGACGCTATGAAGATTCTATTTTGGCCCCAAAACCACAGGACGCTTTTCTGTACATTTATTTATTTAGGTGGTAAATCCTATAAATTTCTTTCGAAGACAAATCTTAAAAAGTGTCAAATTTACTTTGCCCACATTGTCGAGAACTGATTTAAATACACAAACAAATTATTAACGTTCTTTACAAAATATAGAGCCGATACGATATCGTTTATTTGAGAGGCTTTTATTGAAGGAAAAATGAAAATAAACATTGTCATTTTTTTCCTTACATTATTTATTAAAAGTTTAAAAGATCGCAATTTCCGTAAGTGAAATGACGTATTTATACAAGCCAAAAAAAAAATTAAAAAATTTTAAAAAATGCCTATTCATAGCACCTTATTTCTAGGGAAAAGACAAAGTATGGCAGTTGATAGTATCAATTTATTTTTTTAAATTATATTAAGAAAATTAATTTAACTAAAAACTAAGCATATCACGCAATGATGTAGGATGAAGGTTGCGAAAAATTTTTTTTTAAAGTTCTGGGGTGGGGAGGGGTGGCTGTCTCCCATGAGGAGCTGTTTACTCTATAGGGAGGGGTTGCATTTTCGGGCCAACTACACGTGTTTTATTTTTTCAAAGAGAATGCGGCAAACCTGGTTTGCACGAAGTCTAGCTACGCCAAAAATTAATATCTATAATTATAATTCCCCTGTGGACATCACCCACACACACACACTCCCCCCCCCCCCCGCTCAAGAAAGGTAATACAGTTTAATCCCCTATAAATAGTTTTTATGGCCTAACTCACCCGCTCAATAAAGGTAATACAGTTTAATCCCCTATAAATAGTTTTTATGGCCTAACTCCCTCGGCAAATGCTTTTGCTGGTTTTTTAAAATGGCCTATTATTAATTCTATTTTTGTATAACAATTTATCCTTTATATGCAATATACTATTAGTGCTACCCGTGTGTGTGTGTGTGTGTGTGTGTGTGTGCTTTGGGGGGGGGGGAATTCCAGATGGCGCTCCAAATATTCACTAATACTTTTTAGAGCAACCGTAAGTCGGCATAGCGTAGCGTGGTTACGTTGCCCCAGCTAGTTGATGAATTGATATAATACTAAGAATTGAGCAGGGGCCAAGACATGTGATTTATCAGATAGAATTATACGTCTTTGCGCCTACAATTATTTCATGAGTTTTAAATTTTAAAAAATTGGTTTAAATTATAGCACCAGATTTTAATTAGTGCATTTTATTACAAAATTAACAATCGATCATGCATAAATAAATAATTCGAACTTTCGTTTTGTTCCAGAAGAAAGTAGTGGTTTATAGATTACTTAAAGTAGTCATTCCTAAATATAGATCCTCAAATCGAAACAAAGTATGGCGGGATATGTTTAAAAATGTAATGACAAACTGGAGTCTATGTAATAATTCATACAATCTTATTTCTCCAGGGTCATTTTTGAGTAGGGCCAAAAAAAAAGTGGGCTGGTGGGCATTTGTCCCATCAAATTTTCCAGGTTTTATTTAAATTTCTATGTACAGTGACGCCCCCATTAATAAACATTTCAACAAGCTGGCCGCGTTTTGTTTCCCTCTTCCCACCCTATTTTTTCTCCAAAACCCGTGAAAAAAAACGGAAATGGCGTTAATGGCTACTCATCAACTTTATCCAAAAGGATTACGCATAAAATTGAATAAATTATAAAACCATTTTATTATCTTTAGACAATATTTGACTATATTCATTGATTCAGTCTTCACATAACAGTCAAAAAAAAATATAACATTAAAAACTAAGTCTCGATTTTTAAAAAAAAAAATTAAATTTAAACTTTTTTATCAATATCAAACAAATCATTATTTGAAAATATAATATTATCTAATTGTAAATTATTATAAATAATTGTATAGGCTTGAGTTATTTTAAAATTGAAGTCTAAATACTAATAGGTCACTTCGTTCTTAGTTATTTAAACGAATGCACTTCATCTTGCACCAAATATCAATTACTACTTAAATTAATTATTTTATTTATTTCCCAATTCTTCAGTTTTTGCATATTCTTTCTTAATATATATATATATATTCTTTTAAATGGCTCATCTACTTAGCACCAACAGATCCACCCCCAAGTTGACCAACTAGGATGAGAACCCCTGCAACACCAGCCAGGATTAGGGCACATATGGCGAGTCCAAATGAAAATCCAAAATCTTCGTTATGTTGATGTATTTCAGCAGCAAACACAATGACTGCAATCAGCCACGTCACAGCTGGGAAGAGACAAACAGGAGATGGGGAAATATTATTTTTTTAAATCAGAAAATAAGTGGATTTGATAATATCTACCTAATACAATAAGATAATGTACTAATCTCTACCTGAGACAATTAGAGATATTCCAGCCGCCAGTCCAGTTTCTGACTTGCCCTTGCAGCTACTCCAGAAGATGAAGAGAACCAGCAGCAGACATCCAACATTCAGTCCAACAAATCCAAATATGGCGAACGCTTGAGTGGCAGCCATGGAATCTGTTTTCATCAAAATATATTTTATTTCAAGTAATCATCTTAAATAGACAGAGAAACGATGTTTCAAAGTTGAAAATTAAATACACTACTTTTCTCTTATGATACAAGTCTCCGAAATCTATTATATGGAATAAAATATTGAATCAACTAAACCCCAAATAAACAAACTATTTCTCCTTAAGGTAAATTTTGAAAAGTATTAAAGTAGCTTTCATATAAATTGGGCTGCGGTATGAACTATTTAGAAAAAAATGAAATAAATAAAAATGATGATCCTTTATACATTTTACTTGATCTAGTTACCGAAAGGTAAGAAGAGGTAAATAATCTATACATTTACAGTTGGCGCTCCATGTATCCACCAATACTTAGTAGAGCAACCACAGGTTAAAACACACCATGGCACACAGTGCGGTGGGTAACCGATTTTTTAAATTTTTTTTTTTTTAATGTTGTACATTTGTTGGGTGTAGGGACCAAAGTACATGACTTGGGGATAAGCGAATTATGGCGGATTACGGTGAGCAATGAGAGCGGGCTGGACAAGGAAGCCCCCCTCTGGAATATTTATTACAACAGGGTATCGCTAATATTAAATTGCAAAATAAAAGATAAAGATAAATTGTGTTTTAAACAATTGAAAAAAAAAGGTGTGTTTTTTTTAAAGAATTATTTAAGTGAGTTTAGTATAAACAATTTAAAACGGAGTAAAAGTTTATCACCTTGAGCGGGGCGGATCTCATCAACTCGGAAATTATTCTTATATATAGATTAGTTCATTGTTCCTGGTAATATAAATATTGAAATCGGTATATGTACGGATTTCTATAAGTTTTAGACCTGCGAAAATAAATTTGAAAGACGTACCAGAACCTGTACCATCATAGGATGTGCTCCCGAGAGTGCGCGGAGCACTATGTCTCCACAGCCCTACACGATCAACCACTGTTGTGATCCATGATGTTGTGCAGAAAGATATCCAGCTAGCAAGAACAAGAGAACAGAAACCCCGTCACGAGCCAATACTACCATAAACATTGAAAAACTTGGTTAAACAAATGAAATATTTATAGTGATGTCAGCCCCCTCCCCCGACTTCCACGACGGATTTTTTTCTAGTAAAAATAAGTCCACAGTATAACTATGACAAGAACAAAAATAAATGTTTCTAAAGTATAATAGTTACTATCCTAGTGTCTCATTTTTATTTTACTTAGTTTACATGTTTTTAATAATTTTAAAGCGCTTAGAGCTTTACGGTAAGCGCTATATAAAAATGCCTAAATAAAAAAATTAATGAATTGCAGGTCAGGAGGTAAATGTAATAAAGAACTTTAATAGCGTTAAGTTATAGTTATTTTTACATAAAATTTAATTTATTTAAAAAATGTCTTTCCTGTTCTTCAAGGCTGTAAACCTGTAAATAATTTGATCAAAATCAATATCCTTCACTTAATCACTTTCAATTGAGAGTAGAGCCAGATTAGAAATCATTGTCCCATTGTGGATCGTAAAAAGCTCTTGATAGGCCTTAAATTTGAACAGTTCCGCTCACATGAAGCCACCGACACACAGATCGTAAGAAAAAATTCAAGGCTTGTCGAAAGTATTGGAAGAGATTCTAAGAAGTCCAATTCAGCTATGAATTTCAAAACATAAAATAATGACTAGTAAAGGTACATGAAGTTGTGAACATCAATATCAGCTGTCTTTAGTAGTCTTCTACATCTTGGTATTTCTTTTCAAAGTTTGTATTTTGATAACTCATCATAGAAAGGGGATAATTTTGGAACGGATACTAATAAACCCTCTTCACTTGATGATAGTAGACCATTAGATTGAACAGCGCTAAACATATATGCTACTTCCTTGATCGCTGATGATCTGATCTGAGTTAAGAATGAAAGCGATCAATACACTCATCAATTCATGCACTTAGAATCGCTCGACCACATCGTATTTGGTATAAATGGAAAGCTTTATTTATCCGAATTCGTATATATGTATACATATAGCTTCCTGTTACTTACGGAAGTTACGGAACACTTCAATCGGCGATAAATCATGGTCAAAATGGTGTTTTTCTGATTTAGTGATAGGGTCACCTCTGATCAACATTGAACTTTTAATAAGGCACGCATTTGGTTTGGATACATGAATAGACATTTTACATATGATCTTTCTATGAAATTCGGTTGGACCGAGCAAATTGTGCTCTATAAATATGCCATTTTTCAATTCACCCCTGGATTGGTGTCACCCAGTGCGGTTGACACCCCCGCACCCCCTAGCTACGCCAATGACAATTTCTAATCCATCACTGAGCGAGTAAGATGTCAGGTTCTGGATGTGGGTCGCCGTGACTTAGAAAATTTAATCAAGGGGTCAAGGCACTTTTTAAAAAAAATGGCTCAGAGCCACTGCTCTGCAGCACAACTGGTCAGTTTGGCATGCGTCCATATTCAGGCCATTGTTCAAGGTATAGAGGGGTCGTCATTCTCTTGAATTCTGATTGACTAAATAAAACGGTTCTTTATTGTTATAAAGAAATTATTTTGACTCAGTGAAAGAAATCATTCATTAACGTCTTTATTGTAGCATTCAAATTCTATTATTTAACATGCAAAGGTCACCAGTCAATACAATTGAGGAAGAAAACATCTTTCCTCTCCCTCCACAAGTTCCTTACCAAAATACAATTAGTATTCTGGAATTAATGGTTGAAATTCTGGTCCCATTTCATGATAATTTTTGGGACCTGAATATGTCAGCAGTTTTGTAGTGGCTGCGCGAGTCATACTTATCATTAAAAACATTCTTTCTTGTCTGAAATTCCAACTCTTTTAGTTTCACTCATGTTTAAACCTCGGCTTTTCAAGTTTATGCGCAGATTACGTGAAAATGCGTCGTTATTGTATCATGGAATTGGAACAAAGCTGTGTTCACTTACTTGAAGAGTTGTGCGACAAGAACGACAATTGCAGAAATTTTGATGAGAAGCTTAGCTCCCATAAAATCATCCTTGATACCCATGATGATACAGTTATTACTTGATTCACTGAGTGGTTGGAGGTTGATGTGCTATAGGAAGTTCTGGTTTAGTTGTCTGTGGAGATAATGCATGTCAATCAACACAGTCATTCAAATACTGCCAGGTATAAAATTAACAATTTTCAAAAATAGTTTTAGACGATTGCCAACATTTTTTAAAATAAAAAAAAATGTGAATGAATGTTTGCAATGATGGTGAGAATAAAGATCTTGACATTGGTAAGTTCTATGAAGTCTGACCAACGGATCTTGCATTTACTTTTCTTTTGCTATGAAAAATGTTTGAGCTTTCTTCCAATTCCTTATCCCATTACATCCTGTATGGACGATGACCTTAACTCGGATGTCATAAGAATAAGCCAGGTGCTTAACTCAGATGTCATAAGAATGAGCCAAGTCCTTATTTCAGATGCCATAAGAATGAGCCAGGTCCTTATTTCAGATGCCATAAGAATGAGCCAGGTTCTTAACTCAGATGCCATAAGAATAAGCCAGGTCCTTATCTCAGATGTCATAAGAATGAGCCAGGTCCTTATTTCAGATGCCATAAGAATGAGCCAGGTCCTTATCTCATATGTCATAAGAATGAACCAGGTCATTTACTCAGATGTCATAAGACTTTAGCCAAGTCCTTAACTCAGATACCAAACGAAAATTACCTCGTTAAAGATATATTTTTGATCAGGGACACAAACTGCACCAAAATTAACAAAAATTATTTGTCTTTAAAATATCACTAACATTTTGCATTTTTAATCAAATAAGGCTTAAGAGTAAGTCGATGAAAGTAGACATTTGATATGGTATTATACTCAATGCTTTTTAATTTCCACAAGTAAGTTCAATGACATTTCAACCCTCGCAGTCAAGCACGGTTGAATCATCTTTTAAAATTATAAAGTTAACAGCATAATATACTTTAGTAAAGATGGCAATCTTTAAAGAACTTTGAATTATATGCTACTGAATAAAAACAAAGTTATTATTTATAGCATGTATCAGTTACAAATCAAAATGAGCACACGTTCCAGTACAGAAGGAAATCTGAGGGAGACAGTTGCATGCACTCACCCAGTAAGGCGCCTGTCTGTTAACCTAAACACAAGTGAAAGTACAAACTGGGTGTGTGGTCGGGTGGAGTAAAATCTCCAGGCGACACAAAACTGTTTCCTTCTGTTGACGTCCATTAGCGTCCTTAGCGACCAGCAAAGACAACATTTTTATCGTGGATATCGGCAACGAGCATTTGTACATGTCATGGGGAGGGGGAGACATGGGGGGGGGGCGTGAGGACACGTTTGGGGGTGGGTGGCAAGTTTACTTATAAACGTTCCTAGCCTAACATAAATTAGATAATTAGGGTTTGTCCTTGATTGAACAGTAGGGTAGGGGTAAGGAATTGTGGAATGTGAGAAAGGGTGGCATGTGAGAAAGGGTGGCATGTGAGAAAGGGTGGCATGCGAGAAAGGGTGACATGTGAGAAAGGGTGGCATGTGAGAAAGGGTGGCAGGTGAGAAAGTGTGGCATGTGAGAAAGGGTGGCAAGTGAGAGGATGGCATGTGAGAAAGGGTGGCATGTGAGAAAGGGTGGCATGTGAGAAAGGGTGGCAGGTGAGTAAGGGTGGCAGGTGAGAAAGGGTGACAGGTGAGAAAAGGTGGTTTGTGAGAAAGGGTGGCATGTGAGAAAGGGTGGCATGTGAGAAAGGATGGCATGTGAGAAAGGGTGGCAGGTGAGAAAGGTGGCATTTGAGAAAGGTGGCAGGTGAGAAAGGGTGGCATGTGAGAAAGGGTGGCATGTGAGAAAGGGTGGCAGGTGAGAAAGGGTGGCAGGTGAGAAAGGGTGATAGGTGAGAAAGGTAGCATTTGAGAAAGGGTGGCAGGTGAGATAGGGTCGCAGGTGAGAAAGGGTGACACGTGAGAAAGGGTGGGAGTATGGAAGGGTTGAAGATGAGAAAGGGTGGCCTGGGAGAAAGGATAGCATGTGAGAAAGGGTGGCCTGTGAGAAAAGGTTGCATGTGAGAAAGGGTGGAAGATGAGAAAGGATGGCATGTGAGAAAGGGTAGCAGGTGAGAAAGAAAGGGAGTAAGGAAGGGTGGAAGATGATATAGGGTGGCATGTGAGAAAGGGTGGCAGGTGAGAAAGGATGGCATGTGAGAAAGGGTGGCAGGTGAGATAGGGTGGCAGGTGAGAAAGGGTAGCGGGTGAGAAAGGGTGGCATGAGAGATAGGGTGGCAGGTGAGAAAGGGTGGCAGGTAAGATAGGGTGGCAGGTGAAAAAAGGTAGCGGGTGAGAAAGGGTGGCATGTGAGATAGGGTGGCAGGTGAGAAAGGCGGCAGGTGAGAAAGGGTGGCATGTGAGAAAGGGTGGCAGTTGAGAAAGGGTGGCAGGTGAGATAGGGCGGCATGTGAGAAAGGGTGGCAGGTGAGAAAGGGTGGAAGGTGAGAAAGGGTGGCATGTGAGAAAGGGTAGCGGGTGAGGAAGGGTGGCAGGTGAGAAAGGGGGGCATGGGAGAAAGG